AGTCCGAGGTGAGCTTCAAGGTTGTCTTCAAGACCGGGTATCGGAGCTTGCTGTCGGCGGGGAGAACATTGAAGATGGTTGAGAGCGCATGGATCGACAATGCAGGTCCGTTGTGTGGTGATGTAGGAGGGGGGGTCGCAAGGTTCTGGAGAACTGTGGGGAGGAGATTTGGCAGCTCGGCGGAGCTGCGGATCAGGTGGATGAGGAGGTTGTAGGCGGGGATGTACTCTGTCCAATGTTAATATCTGCTTTATATATTTATAGTATGTATAGAAGTTAACCTACCCTTCTCTGGCGCGGAAGAAAGCACGCTACTCGCGTCAACGATCTTCTTGAGCGCCGTCTCCTTGTCCCCAGCCTCAATAAGAGCCTCGAGCTCCGGAGCGAGAGCCTGCGATCCCTTGCGGGTATCGATGTACTGGGCCATCTCGAGGATTTGGTCTACCCTGTCCATTAGCCCAATGCCCTCCAATACTGCATTTTCTACATATCTCGGGAGTTACCGTCGAACGACCCCTCGACCATGAGGGTGTTTATCGTGGGAACCTCCATATTTGCGGTTTGGGTGACTTCGAAATGGCTTCGAGATGTCGATGGATGAGGTTCTTTTTCTGATAGACGTTGTTTAGTGGGGGAGGGAAGTGTGGGCTCGCCAAGACTGCAGTAAAAAAGTTACGCTCAGTTCATGGAGGGGCTACCGGGATGGATAATGCGCCGGGCCGGTAATTTAGGTCACTTGAAGTAGACAATTGGTTTCTATAGACCATGGCCCTGGGAGTTTACACTACGAATGGGGGGTTTATTTTAGATTTTCCGTGTAATTAAGGTCGATGATTTTTAGATATACAAAAGAATCGATAAAAAAAAACAAAGAGTTCGTGGTCCGAAGTCGTGAAATTTCCATATCAGGTGACTAGGGCTGCACCCTTGCCTACACCGTCACAACACCCACCACCAATCCACACAATCACACTCGAATCACAGCTACCCTGCCAAAAGTTGTAAACGCCACTACCAACTCTACGACGACACTCGCCCGCCAACCACGAGATATTCCCTCCGACGAACCCGCCGACAAACCCTTTTCGTACGTCTAAATCGCCGTCCTGCTGCTCGCGAAGGAAATGCTGACTGGGTGGAAAACTAGACACCAACAACTAAACCGCAATCATGGTTAAGAAGAGAGCTTCCAAGTACGGTTTCCCCCAGCAGATAGACGGGACATTGGGGCGCATGTAGGAGATGAGATAATGGGATTGGCTGCTGACCCGGAAAAATAGCGGTCGTAACAAGAAGGGACGTGGTCACGTTAAGCCGATCCGTTGCTCCAACTGCTCCAGATGCACCCCTAAGGATAAGGCCATCAAGAGATTCACCATCCGTAACATGGTCGAGTCAGCTGCTGTCCGTATGTGCACCCATTCACCCTACACTTTGATTTTCCAGCTTGGATATCCAATGGAGGATTAGGAGGAGAGGAGTTTGTTGTGGGGAATAAGAGGAGGAATATATGGAGGGAAAACAAGGGGAAACCGGGGGGGGGGGGATTTGGGAGTGGAATGCTGTTCAGATTGATTGGCAAGATGGGATGCTGACGGTTCTGCGGCGACACAGGTGATATCAGCGATGCCTCCGTCTTCCAGGAGTACACCATCCCCAAGATGTACTTGAAGCTTCAATACTGCGTTTCTTGCGCCATCCACGGAAAGATCGTCCGGTCCGTACATACTTGAATCTCAAACTCCAGCTTCCTCAACTAATAGCTTTCACAGTGTCCGTTCCCGAGAAGGTCGTCGCAACCGTGCTCCTCCCCCAAGGATCAGGTACAACAAGGACGGCAAGAAGGTTAACCCTAACCAGTCTGCCAAGACCGCCACCGCCGCCTAATTGTTTCCTTATATCTCCTAAATAAAAAAAAGTTGGGTGTGAGAATGGGAACGGAGGAATGAAAGAGAGGGAGATCTAACTGTAAAAGTGGGCTCTCTTTTTTTTTTTTGTAGCACAAAAGAATCATTTCTCCCGGGGTGTTGAATTTCAAAGCTTCTTTTTTTTCTGTCTATGATGATAAACAATGTGATCACGATATGGGAAGATTGTTTCTGCTTTTTCTTTTGAGGGTTTCGGAATAGAATCTGATAATCAGATGTTTACTGGGATCTGGATCGTGTGATCATGAGCTCTCACTCGAGATAAATACTCGGTGATGTGTGCAGAAAGCTTCGAGTTCGTCTGGTAAAGACCGGGGCTACTAGTAAAGTAATATTCCTATGAGCTATTATACTTGTATCCGCTCGCATCTCATCGTGCCTAGCAATTGTGACGCCCAATGGCTCCGAGTTACGTTCACCTTATCACTACACCCGATCATCATCAGTAGACTACTACTACTAGTAGTAGTACCAATGATCCCAGAATAGATTTTCCAGGTTAAGTGTCTCAACGGAATTACCCGGCAACTAGTACTAGTAACCACATCACCATTAATAATGACGCCCTTCCCCTCCAGCTCACCATCTTGGTCCTCAATCTCCCCATATCAGCCATTGTATACCCACCATGTTCACCGGAATTGTAGAAACGATTGGGAGTAAGTCCCCTATCTCCCCAATTGCTTACAGCATTCCAAAAACTAACCTACCTAGCTGTCTCCTCCCTCATCCCACAAGACGATACCACCACAGGCGGTGGCGGAACCTCCTTGACCATCTCCAATGCCACTCCAATCCTCACTGATGTCCACCTCGGCGACTCGATCTCCGTCAATGGTTCTTATCCCCACTCATCTCTCACCGAAACCGAGCTAACAAACCCCCAGGGACCTGTCTCACCGTCACTGCCTTCGACAACGACAGCTTCAAAGTCGGCGTTGCCCCCGAAACCCTCCGCCGCACTAACCTCGGCTCTCTCGCTGTTGGCTCCCCCGTAAACCTTGAACGCGCCGTCGCCGGACACGTCCGTTTCGGCGGTCACTTTGTACAGGGCCATGTCGACACCATTGCAACGATATTGTCAAAGACGCCAGATGGAAACGCTGTGACGTTCCGCTTCCAGCCGAGGGACAAGGATGTGCTGATGTACATCGTGGAGAAGGGGTACGTGACTGTTGATGGTGCGAGCTTGACTGTTGTCGCCGTGAGCGATGACTGGTTTGAGGTTATGCTTGTGGCATACACACAAGAGAAGATCGTCACCGCGGCAAAGCCCGTGGGCGGTGAAGTCAACATCGAAGTCGATATGACGGGCAAGTACATTGAGGTGAGTTTACTATCCCTGATTGTTAGGAATGGTGCTTATTTTACTGTAGAAACAAGTGAAGGCGTACCTCGGCGGAGCCGGGGGTTCTATGCTGGAATCACTAGTGGAGAAGATCGTAGAAAGGAAGTTGGCACAGAAATAAGTAACTACATTGTACACGGCCGGATATCCATTGAATATATTACCACCCTGAACCCCAACATAAAACCTGCAATGTGATCATTGACATCCGGTAGGTGCAATGTGGCTCACAGGTTTTGAGATATCAGTCCTGGCTTTGGCTCGTTAGGGTAGGACTTTGCTGAAGGAGCAGAACTGGCTTGAGCTTATTTAGGGCTACTTTCTTTGGTGCGTCATTAGCGCTCGGCAGTGATCAGACGGCCAAGCTCAACTCCTCTGATAGCGATGGATGTTTCTTAGCGTAAATGTGCATGCTTGGATTTCTAGCAAGCTTTCCCCAAATGACCAACGATGTGTAGTTCTTCTACTCATTGTAGTCCAAAATCCTGACCGTACTCAAGAGCAATATCCAACATTTCATGGGGGCTCATCTTTTATTCTTTCTCAAGGATTACGTGTATGTGTTGTACGGTCCTCCTCCAGGGAATAATTAAGTAATGAATGGGGTCCTTGAGTTACCACAGCCTCAATGGGAGCCTGAATTTATGAAGATTCAATGATCTGGCATGCGTCTTCGGGGCGTGTGGAGCCTACGCTATTTCTATGCCTTGTCTTGAGCTGGCAATATGCCTCTGCACAGACCTAAATAGTCCAATGTAACCCAAGACACCTACTACCCTCCTTGACTTGATGTGCCTGTGGTACCAAGTACCTAACATGGCCTACCCTCGGCAGGCATAGACCCATCATCTTGCATATATGTCAGCTCTAGCTAGAGGAGTGAGGCGTGGAGAACCGCTCATATTCTGGTGGGATATCTAGAAATGGAGAATGGCCCTACTATGATCCAGGAAAGTTGCAGCATAAATTTGGGAGATAAGCATACCCGTTATCTACTTCCTCTCTGCGGTCAGCGGGTGTCGTTATTAACTACAACCGTAGACCGTTAGTACTAGTCACGTAGAGATCCTTTAGTGGGAGAGGTGGTAGGCGCGGGGCAGAGAGGGGGAAAAGTATATTTTGGTATACCCACTAAGATGTCGACCGGCCAACCAGGCGGATGGATACACGCGGGGACGGGGGGGCTCCAACCCGGAGTGTCATATTTTTATCAAAAAAACAACGTACTGCCGCTTCGGTGCTCTCTCTTATCCTAGCATAACCCCCCTATCGTGTATAGATGTCGTTTTGTCTCGGGCATATACAAAGCGCACAAGATCAGTAAGAATTCCGTGAGGAGTTATGCACATTGTACACCGTAGAGGTAATGTAGAAGATAAGTGGTATATGATTAACGGAGACCAATAACTAATTTATCATTTGCATACTCATCATCGTACACGAGTACACTCTACGTGTCCTCCAATAATACATACTAATATACAGGCTTGAGGTTTTGTTTTCAGAACCCCAGATCTACAACGCATAATCCATAATCGTTCAAAAACCGCACGCCCCCCCCCCCCCCAAAATTACCTTCTAATAAATATTACCCCCTCCAATAAATATTACACCACGGCCGCACATAAGAACATCCAATGTTACAGGTTTCAAAAAGAAAAGAAGAAGAAGAAGAAGAAGAAGAATATAAACAAACCAGCACACAAAATAGTTCAAAAATGAAATTAGACCATCTCATTAACGACATCCCTCAAAATTGGCCTATTTCCCAAGAAGTCTGCCCTCGACGTAATATTTTTTTTCCCATTAATAACCTTCACCAACTTCGCCGCTCCCCCTTCAGAAGCACTTCCAGAAGCACCTCCGCGGTTTTCCTGTCTCTGAGATTGGGACTGCGTTTGGAGTATGGGCATGATATGACCTGCCTGCGCCTCTGCCGGTAGATCGTACACCCATTTATTCCTTTCCATCAACCCCACAAAGCTGGCCAATAGCTCATTGGTGCTCAATGTTGTCTTACTCCCCAAAATTATTAACTTTGTCTTGGCCCTCGTAAACGCGACATTGATCCTCCTCCAATCTCGTAGCAACTCGCCAACATTCTGGTCATCGTTTGAGCGAACAAGTGAGATGATAACCACTTCTTTGTCGCGGCCTTGAAATTTGTCTGCAGTGTGCATTTCGACAGTAGGCCGACTGCGGAGGAGGTTCTGGATGATTTTGATTTGAGAACGATAGACGGATATAACACCAATGGAGGAAGGATCGATTCCAGTTGTAATAAGCCCTTCGACGAGCTGAAATGCAAGCTCAGCTTCAACAGGATTATTGATTCGATCACCTCGACGCTCTTCACGAGCGGGGACGGTATCAGTATTGATGAAACATGCTTTCACACTTGAAGACACGGAAGGTTAGCAATCATAATCAATCACTCGGTATTAAACGCCATACTTCTCGCTCAACAAATCACGAATCCAGCAAGGACTGCCAGTACATGTTTTTGACTGGGAGTGGAGTCTATCAAGTCCTTTAATACTCGGAATTTCAAGCTTCTTGTTCGCAACCTGCTCATTCCCGCACTTAAGCATTCCGTTATAAATGAGTTCATTTGACAGAGTCATGATCTCTTTACACATCCTGTACTGGTGTTCTAGGTTGACAACTGCCTGCGGATGTGCTTCGCATAAGAGCTTGAATAGACTGATATCTAAACCTCCTTCTCGAGCCTCCGGATTCCTTACGAGCGGTGGTAATTGATAGTGATCACCAACAAGGATGAAAGTAGTAGCCATGCGGATAGGTCCCAAGCAGACGGGCAAGGTGATCTGAGAGGCTTCGTCCACTATACAATAGTCGAATTTTCTTTCATTGAAGATAGTGCTGAAATGATGTTAGATGCTAGTGCCTAGAGATATTGGACAAGATAGAAATCAACTTACTGGTTAATACCCAAACACGTTGTTGCCACGACCTTTGGCTTGTGGAAAGCATCATGGATTTCCTTAAATGTTTTCCTCGGGGTCTCTGCTAGCTGAGCAAATCCTTTTACCAATGGATGGATCTTAGCCCCTGAGCCTATTCGCAAGATATCAATGTTGTCGTTCCGAATCTTTAGGAGAATGTTATCAACAGCCGTGTGGGTGTACGAAGTCAAAAGTACACTTTTTCCCTGGTTTACCAGGGCTCTTATGATGTGTGCAATAGTTGTCGTCTTTCCCGTTCCAGGCATTCCCAACACAAGCGCATAATCATGAGCTGTTAAATCAGCAATAGTATCTAATTGCAACAGGAAACTTAAACATACCGGTCATAACTTTCTCAATCGCTTTTCGTTGGTCCCCGTTCAAGCTTTCAGCGTTTTCTAAGGTATATGCTGTTGGAGAATCCTTGAACTTTGGCGTCTCAAGGTCGATAATCAATCTCCGATACTTTTCTACTGGGGTTGTCACCATCATCTGTATAAGATTATTCCTCACGGTAGCCATGCCGTTACTAAATTCGTCTTTGTCTAGCCTAAACAGCATTTCCTCGTCTTGAGCCTGTAATAACCAAGCATCCAGCGGCTTCTGATCATTCTTTCCGTCCTTCGTAACCTCCATAATCCCTGCAAAGACCTGATTCTTTTTACTGTCAAATCCTGGCTCTCTCGTCCTAGCATTATGAAGTCTCCTATCAACCTGCACCGTAATTTTATGGCTTCTGATATCGGTGACATATCCCAATGCCAACGCATAGTGACTCTTCTCGTCAGAAATCACGATTGGCTCACCAAGACTGATCTGGGAATCCAGAAAGGTAAGTGTGGGGTCGTTGGTCTTCTTGTTGAATGAGTACGTGTACTTGGTAATCTTTCCGGAGGATTCGTTCACCGAAACCGAGCCAGGCTCGATCACAAGGTTTCCAAAACATCTTCCTACAGCTTCTCTTTCAGAGCTGATCATCCCCCAAAGCTCCCTACGGAAACGGAATAGATCCTTTTCTTCTTTAGATAATAGAGTGTCCCAATGTTTGAAGAATTTTGCGTCAGAATTGCCAAGGTAATGGGTCATTTCTGTGAAGGCCTTTTCAGCACCACTGGTTTCAGGGGTTCCATCTTCCAAGAGCTACTAAAATCAGCATGTGGTTATTAAAAGTTCTTAGAATATAAAATTACCTTGTGATAAATGAAACATGGTGTTTTGGCGTAGCATCTTTCGCATGCATTTTTATTGCGTAGCATTTCAGGAAGAGCTGTACGATTACGGCTGTAGCTAGCAATTTCATTACGACCAATGATCATCCCGCGTAACTCGTCTCGAATTGCCGGGACACGAATCATCTCTGCTCTCTCAATGTAATACAACATCCCGCACGCCACATCGATGTCTGTCATCAATAGATCAGCTAAGCTTCTAATAAAGACGGAGAAATGCTTGATACGAACCGTAACGGTCTGACATCAGGAGGGTATAGAGCATAGTCTGTGCCCTGTGCATAGTCGAGCTTGAATTTTTCCCACTCTTTAGCTCTAGAGGGATTGTCAAGGTCTTTTCACCGTTACTATCGATGATTGTGGATTGAATTGTCGCATCAATATTACCCTTGAGTCCATACATGGGCGACCAAATATGTTCCTCAATATCAAGCAACTTGTTTACGGCAACAATAGGAGCACTTTTACCACGGTGATCTGTTACTGTGGCATTATTCTATAGGACTATTAGTTTTGCTCTGGTTATCAAGGGAGTCAATAATTCTATACCTTTGGCTTCAGTGCCACAAATGTTTTTGCCCAATCCTGTATTAACCAGGACTTCGACCTCACATATTTCGTCGCAACAGGTATTTCCTCGTGGAGAACATAAAGGCTTTCAACATGCTCAACAACGAGTTTATCTATAACCTCATTCAGATAAACAGTTGAAAAATCATTTGCCATTAACGCCGCCTGAAATAAGGCGTGTAGAATATTTCCGTACACTAGCGGCCTGCTGACATCCCCTGCTGCTTTTACACGATCCTGCATGACCGATTTCCGAACACAGCTGAAAGAGTCTGCTACCACTGTACATGAAACGAGAAAGTCGGGATGCAAAATGATCATGTTGTGGGCGTTGTCGACGATACATGTACGGGATGAATCAAATGACCCGATTAAATGTAGATGATCACCTTCAACCACGATCGTATCATACCAGTTCTCGCGAAGTTTGATGATGCACTCAACTTTCTCTTTTTCGGCTTTCACTCTCAATACCTAAATGATTTAGACTCTTGAATATATAGGATTTGGAAAGTGCGGGAAACCTTCTCTTCCCGGTCTGCATTATTTTTCCATATCCAGCTTCCCAGGGAAATCTCAAGAACTAGATACCTTCTTATGCTTTTTGGTTTTAAATCTTTCTTGAAATCATTAGACGCCCAACGAAACACGATTGGGGAGACATGACGCACCAGGCCATTAGATAGTTCCAGTTCTTCGTCATTCCACTCATCAAAATCAATATCACCAAACTCCTCCAGGACCTGGGATGCTGCAATCTCAGTTGCAGTTTTGTGATATTCGGCCCGTGATTGAAAGAGTTGGCGTTGTTGATCAGGGCTTGATGTGTTTGGATTATTTACAGTCGTTTGGGTTTCATATTTCGAGATGAGGTTTTCGACACCAGCCGCAAACTCGTCATCGTCGTCATCGCCGAATTCATCCTCATCCTCTTCTTCTACTATCCTTTTCTTAACAGGAGTCAGAATCTGCTGTCTCTTTCCTGAAGGTAGCTCCGGCTCTACGACAGGGTCTCCTGCTAAGGAAGCCATGGTCTGATGCGCGCCTGTGCTGTTTTCTGCGAGCTCTTCCGCCTTATCCAGCATCATCATATCAATATCATCGTCATCAAAATCTCCAAAGTCTTCGGAGTCAGAGCTAGCGATATGCCCCTCTTCCTTATCATTACTATTATCGTCACCATCACCGTCGCCGTCGCCGTCGTCGCCCTCGTCATCGCTCTCTTCGGCTTGAGGATTGATCGTATATGTCCTCCCACCCCCTCCCCGACGAATTGGAGAGGAAGTACCATCAAGAGAATTTTCGTGTAATGGTGAAGAGGATAGTATGTTTGGCATTGAGGAGGGTTTCTCTAGCGTTTCCTTCACCTTATCTACCAATCGACTAACCCTCGACAATCTCGACGGTCCGGGTGCACGATTTCCAGGCTCTCCTTCGCTCCCAGTAGGCCCTTCAGGGACCTCATCTAGCTCAGAGATATCTTCGGATGAGACTATTCTCCTCCTCTTTAACCGCGTTTGCGGCCAGTCCGGCCCGCAACTATACGCCCTTCTCAATCCCAGAGGAGATTGGTTCGTCCCTTCAGCCCCAAATAATCGTGCGGCTGGATTGGCGTCGGGGTTTGAACCGCTTGAGTTACCAGTAGTCGAATATTTGCTCCACAATTGCATTGCTGGATCTGCCAAAGGTGTTTTAAGAACGCCCAACCGCTGAAGGTTGAATGTCTCTCCACGTTTCTTTCCAATAGGAGTTACAACATTCGGCGATGCAGTTCGCTTCTTGCCCCGTCTGCCTTTCTTTGGCGCAGGTGTTGTTTGTGAAGCACCATTTGGTGTCCCCCGAGGCGACATTTGCCACATGATTCGATCCTCGGGCGAATCTCTTGCTTGTAGAAGAGCCTGGGTGGGGGTCCCCTCATCACCAATTCCTATCAAATCCGATAACTGTAGTCTTGGGGCTGGAGTTTTGGGACATTCTTTCATCGCATCAGACCCCGGGATTGGTGTTTTTGAGTTGTTCTTTGAAACCTCTAAATCTGCGTCATCATTGTCATTCCCACCTCCACCTCCAGGTGCATTTCCGGGCTTTGTTGCTGCTTTAATTGGCGTCAATGGCTTGTTGAACGCGAAAGCTCCTAGCTTAGATTTAGTCTCGGTGGAAACTGGAATAGAGCCGGCTGCCGAATTCGTTCGAGATGCATGCGATGAAGGATCACGCTGTTGTAGAGCGTTTGGGTTCCTTTTCCAACGTAGGGCACGCTTTGAGTACAGTTAGTAACAAAATATGCATACGGCCAGTGCTTGAATGTCAATGGCACGGGGGTGATAGAAGAGGTACTTTCGCGGAATGGTCCGTATCGAAGAAGCTCGTTGTAGGCTTTCGAGACATTGTATAGAAGAGTGTGAAGCTGGTAGATGGTGAACAATTAAGGCCGTAAGGATAATAACTGATATATTTAATTTAAAAAGAGAAAAAAGCAACCAGTTGCAGCGAAAGAAAAATAAACGAACGTCAAACGTTGAACGTTGAGGTGTTGTGAAATTGGTGATGTTCTTTTCGGGAGCTAAATTGATGATCAAGACGCGTTTTGCCTAGCACGCGACGCGAGCAACACCCCACAATCAAGCAATAACCACTTACAAGATAGCCTAGATTCACAATCTCAGGGTCCGGAAAATTTCCCGGGATGATTTTCTGGCCTGGCCTGGTGCTTCACCCATGTTTACTTGAGTTTTGAAGCCAAATATACCATAATTTATAAACCCATTCTATTATTTGTCCATTATTATATTTCCCAATGTTTCTCACTCTCGCTCCTGCCCATTCCAGATGAAACGGGCCTTCTCGTCCCTTCTAGTGCGATGCATGCCGAGTTCCCTCTGCTGTCGCATGAACCCTTTATGGAGCATGCAGCTTGAGCCTCCATCTTGTCATACAGACCCAGATATCCATAGCCGAGTTACCTATTGAAGTCACCCGGCTTTCTCCACCCCCACCTTGTCGCTCAAAAATCCCACAGTCCAGGTGTTTCAATCGTGACTTTAAAACCCCTCGTGTCCCGATAATAAAAACTCTTTCTCAATCTTCCAAACTTTTGCTCCTTCCTTACTCTTTTTACACCATAACTTTCTCTCTCCACTCATCATCAAAATGTCAACCAAAGATATGCCTATTCCTTTTTCCGTGACCTTCGCGGCCGGTGAGTAATTCCACAATTTTTCTTTCTGATATTGCTTTTTTTTTGTACAAGAAAATTTGCGCAAAGCTGACTCGAGAAAATAGGTGCAATTGCGGGAATCAGTGAGGTCTGTACAGCTATGAGAAGATATGCAACAGCAGAAATCGCCAAACTAACTCAGTTATCTACTCTATGAATTAGATTCTCACTATGTATGTTCTTTCCACTGTGCGCAACCTTTTCTACTTCTCTTGCTAATACTCTCTGCTTGCTTCAGGTACCCTCTCGATGTTGTCAAGACGCGAGTGTATGAAACACCTTTCCATAAAATATCACTCGACTCTCTAGCTAAGCTTCGTTAGACAATTGCAAGACAATACCGCTGTTGGTGCTGACAGGTACAATGGCATGGTCGACTGCTTCCGCAAGATTGTCAAGAACGAGGGGTAATGATTTTTCCAGATATGAGTATATAGCTCTATATGCTAATCAGAAACCAGATTTTCGAGGCTGTACCGTGGTATCACAGCTCCCATCTTGATGGAAGCTCCCAAGAGGTAACTTCCAAATCAAACTAGTGCTGGAATTTCCCTCCAATCGGCTTTAACATGACTCAAGGGCTACCAAATTCGCCGCCAACGATGAATGGGGTAAAGTTTATAAGAAGCTCTTTGGCGTAACTGAGATGAACCAGCCTTTGTCGGTCCTCACTGGTGCTAGCGCTGGTGCAACAGAGTCCTTCGTTGTAGTACCTTTCGAGCTTGTCAAGATCCGTCTTCAAGACAAGGCATCTGCGGGCAAATACACTGGCATGATCGATGTGATTCAGAAGACCGTTAAGGCCGAGGGTGTTTTGGCCATGTACAATGGTCTTGAGAGCACATTGTGGAGACACGTTGTGTGGAACGCTGGTTACTTTGGTGTCATCCATCAGGTCAAATCCTTGCTTCCCAAGCAAGAGACTAAGAAGGGTCAGATGTTGAACGATCTGATTGCTGGATCCATTGGTGGTACTTTCGGTACCATGTTGAACACTCCGTATGTTCCCTAGACTGCGGTACTATCTGTTGCTGTTCCTGACTTGGGTGTAGTGCGGATGTGATCAAGTCTCGAATTCAAAACACTGTTCGTGTTAAGGGCGTTGTCCCCAAGTACAACTGGACCCTTCCTTCAATAGCATTGGTTGCTCGGGAAGAGGGTTTTGGAGCCCTTTACAAGGGTTTCATTCCTAAGGTGCTCCGTCTTGGACCCGGAGGAGGTATGTGGACCCCAGCAAATATTTACTCCTAGTAGTTTTCTAACGCCCTCTAGGTATCCTGTTGGTTGTTTACACTGCCGTTCTAGACTTCTACAGAGCGTCGAGAGATGCAAAGGCTGCCCTGACCATCTAAAAAAGGGAGAAGAAAAAATAAGAGGAGCGTGGATGCTGGCGGTGGTTTATTTTTCTATTTTTTCAGTTTCTTACTCTTCATTTTGGCGGATGGGTAAAATAAAGTTTAGAGTGGTGGATCCACGGTTTCTTTCCACGTTAGAGAAAAAGCACACTTCTTTCTTTTGCTGTTCATCTGGTCGTAAAGATGATTCCCACTATTTCTTTTTGTATATATACTACTCCGTAAACTTAATTGTTCACGAAGAAGCTCCATCCTGCCGCTGTCTGATGTTCCTGGCCGCATCTGGCTCAATGACATGCTCCTGCACAGCTTGAGTGATCAACTCTCTGAGCTCCCTTTGCGTCTCCTCGCTCTCAAAGTTCTGCCGCGACGCCATCTCTTGTATCCGCTGTCTCAGCGCCTCATCGACAGGTGGAAGAGACTCGCTCACATCCTCCTCTGCACTCAAGTTGACCGAGACACCCGGCGGAGGCTTCGGGATCGCCGGATCGGAGGGTTCGCGATCGCGCAGATAGGCAGCCACTAATGGAAATGATCCGTCCTCCTCGATTGAATCCGCAGCCTAAAAAGTCAGAAAAGTCGCCTCACTTATGAGTAATTTCAAGTAGTGGCCCATACAGTCATTCCTGAGCTATTCGTGTGATCCACATTTGCGCCGAGCTCCTCCACGAGGACCTTTGCGACCTCTACAGTCTCTGCAGCGAATAGAGGGGTGTCTCCGTCGTGGTCTTCGACGTTGACGTTTCCGCCGTGGGTGCGGATGAGGGACTTCAGCAGTGAGATGTGGCCGTATGATACAGCGGCGTGGATCGGGGTGTCTTTTTGGTCATTTTAGAAAATCGCCTTGAAACGTAAATAAATGAATTGTTTTTTCTCTTCCTTCCTTATTGGAAAATATTTTTTTATATATATTCTATTATTGGTGGTGGGGTGGTAGTCATTTGGTGGGGGAGAGTGAGAGACTTACAACCGTTCTCATCATGAGCATTGACAGCAGTGGGGTCTTGCGCAAGGAACCTGCCAACAGAGACGATGTCACCATCGCTGGCAGCGATCCAGATATTAGCGGAGGGCATGTCGTGAGGTATTTGTATCAATTGACTGAACGTTTATTTCAAAGCCGAGGTGATAGAAGGGCCGGATGGAGGGGTGGTGTGAGGCTCAAGACCTTTTTTTTTTTTTACTCCTGTCGGTGGTTGTTGGTGGGGGGTACAGTATGTTTGACGTTCGCGCTCGGTTGCGAGCAAGCTAGAGTAGCATGTAGCTACATCAAGCTATGGTCAGGCATGGACCACCCAACCGCTGTCATGGAGGGAAATGATCCTTTTGATACAAGTAGCCCCATACTAATCAACAAAAACTACATGTCCTTACTGAGGAAAACGACAAAATTGGCAGGTGGTCAAGGATATATCTTCTTGTTCATGTAAGTCTTCCCCCTTCCGCCCCCAGTCTTCTCTTGGTCTGCGGTACCCGAGTGATTGCATGTGCATGCGTGCTTCTCTCTGTTAGAGGCCTCCAATCGGTTCAATGGAAACTTTCGTAACTTTCGTATTCGAGCAACTGTTGACGACATGTACTAAGCTTTTACTAATTTAGAGGTGGTTTATTTGCCCTCCTTATATTTACCTATTAACTTTTGTATTATTAACAACAAGCAAAAATACCGATTTGCTTGTGATACGTGGTTCTCAAAAAGAAAAAGAAGGAGAGAAAAAACTCTCAAAGGAGGGCACCGGTCTTGACTATGAGCGAGCATACGGGGATCTGCAAACCGTCGTCGGAGTGAAATGATAAGATCGCCGATATTTTCCATTACAAGCTAGATCCTCCAATGAACATTGAGATGACGGATGGAAAGATTTCAACAAATCTTATGCCCCCATGTGAGATCTCTGGGCGTACTGCAGTTTCGAAATATACAAGTTGTTACTTTTGACCGTCGGACCCTTAGTTGGAGAGCTTAAGGGTCTCCAATTAAGAGTTTCCGTAGAGTACCCCCGTGCGCTGTCTCAATGCCCCTCCCTCGCTCGCCCCCGCGGTATAATTGCGGTAGGTAGGTACGTTATGAGAGGTGTTTTTTTTTTCTTGCCTCGTGCGGAAGTCTTCGTACGTAAGGGTGGCGCGGGTGAGTGATTGTTTGAACCGTGGAAGGTTGAGTTGATAGTGGCCTGATGTTTTATCCCTAAACCCACAGGCACCTCCTACCTACACTACAACCTGCTAAAACACAACAACAGAAACCAACTGAACCCGATGAGGTGAAGGAAAAAATCAGAACGTGATGCTACTATATCCGCATAGAAGCTTATGTACCACAACTTATGGGTAGATGAATCTTCCTTGAGACATTGGAGTTGCCAGCCATAGCCTTTTTTGCTTTCTGAAGGTCGGATGAGCGGAAACGTCAAGACATGTCGGATTGGTGGTTCAAGCATAAATTCTTTGTAATAATTGGACGCTTGTAGTTAACTACAATAAGCTATCTCTATCTGGTCTCCACATTATTACAAGATTCATGCCTGAAACAGGGACCATGAATGTGCTTCTGTCGGGTATGTATGTAGATAGTACGAGGAAGGGGTTTGAAAAGCTACATCATACAAGTACAAGTACATGTATCTAAGGGCTAGCTACATGTAGAAAGGCAATAAACGGGTTCAGTAGACAAGATAACTAGCCCTTACCCTGAGCCCCAAGCCCCTACATCTTCGGGCCGCGCCTGAATGTCACGGAAACTGCCGCTGGTGCCTTGGTTTGGTTCGGTACGGAGGATACCCAGCTCACCACAAGGATCATGGCCATGTAGGTATCGGTATCTCATCAACCCTACGGTACATGTAGGTACATACTCAAGTTTCCCTCACCCCCCCCCCTTGATTGCCTCCCAAGAAACCTCTTTCTTTCGGCAGCATCTGAAAGCTCTAATGGTGCGCGGCGCAGCTTCCAATTGTTGGCGCTAGCAGCACGGAATGGTACAAATGGCAAGCTGCATACATACATGCTACCTACATGTATCTACCTCCCGGTAGTAGTCTCGCAGGGAACGGCAGTCGTTGAACGTATCTCTTCGGCCTTCTTCTCAATCACTCGGCAATTTCGTGGGCCTTAAGAAAGCTGTTTTATATGTCTGTCTGTCTGTAGGCTGTAGGTAGGGTGTGTCGGTATGCATTTTATTTTATGTATGTAGCTACATCGAGGTGCTCCTCGTGATTGCGGAGGATCCTATTGTAATCATCTTGTCTTGCTGCTCTTGGTGCTGCTGCTACTGGTGCTCGTCGTACTGTTTATTTATTTTGTTTGTTTGTGTGGTGAGATAGGATAGATGTGCGATACCACCGTAATTGCAGTACCGGTATGTAACAAAAAGTGTTGGGGGGTGGTGGGAGGGAGGGGGGGATTTGCTTCTCAGTTCGATCAAATCGATGTCGGCCTGAGCATCCGTGCGGCTTCTACTGCCTCATTCGGACCGCCGGGTGAGTAGGCACTTGGTTGACAGAGAGAAATTTGTTCTGTCTATTGCCGGGTGTTTTTGGAGAGAAGTTGTAGAGAGGTCTAGAGATCTCAAGAGAAAGAGGGAGAATGGAGGTGAGGGAGGTGATGGTGGTGGTGGGGTGGGGTAGATAGAGAGAAACATTAGACAGAGACAGACATACAGACAGACGTTCCTCAAAATTCTGTGTTCTGTCTGCTTCCTGCGAGGTTTTTAGTTGAGCATACCGCACATACTGTAGGTACTGACTGTACTGTTGTATCTCTAGAACCACGCAGTGTTCAGCCCAATACACACCCTACATACACCCACATCACGTATGGTCGTACCGCACAGACTGAGGAAGGAAAAAAGCCCACATACAACCAACATCTTTCCTTTTTTTGCGCCAGCACTTCCTATTGCATCCCTAGCCCATTCTGTTCTCTCTACCGAACGAAGCCTTCTTCTGGGGTCCTACTATTTAATAGTTGTCCTTATTATATTATTATTTACAGTCTGTTGGGTACATACATTACATGATACATTACGGACCTACCTACTTCTCCATCCATCCATACAGAGAGAGACATCTCGGGTTTATTCTTTTTCTCCACACTCTCTTCTTGCTCTACACTTTCTAAACCTTTGGCGTTCCTCCTCCAATACGTACCCCCCCCCTTCTCTCTCCCTATTACCACCACTACCTTGTTTCCTCGGGCTGAACAACCCAACACCCCCCTCAAAAAAGAGAATTCAAAGGGAAGAAGAAAAAAAAAAAAAAAAGAGGCGAAAAAAGAAGCCTAGAATAAAATAGAAATCCCACCGTTGTCGTTGCCTTCTTCACCGTCACCTTCAACAACCACACACCCCCCCACCACCACCTTAATCTGCAGAATTGACCACAGCCTTACTTCGCAAAGGTCTCTTTAAAACTGTCCCAGTCACAACCGCATTAACTTCCTCCCATCAATTATTTTACTGCCCACAAACAAAAATTCAACTGAAGCTAGCTAGCTGTTACCCGGCGCTGATAGAGCGCACCTCCGTTAATACGGACAGTGTCCTAATTCTCATGCCTCTTTTTGTCCTGCGTTAAGTTACTTATGGTAATATATTCACAGCTTTCCCTTTTTTCGTTTCCCCCTCTCCCTTCGTTACACGGGGGTGTTTTTTTGGTTTTTATTTGGCGTTGTTAGTGTTGCAAAAAAAAGCTCTCTTCTCTGACTCCTCTTAGTTTTGGGCTCTGATATCGCCATTTAGACACACAGCGGAGCCGCCGCGACTCTCTACATCCTCTCCGCTACGGTCATTCTTCCAGCGCCATGGCGAAACGGTAGCCAGGCACCCGATCGTTTCCATTGTCACCTCCGTGGTGTTCGCTGTCGTGCTATGTTACCCTTTCCCGATTCTCTACTCAACAACAGCTCCCGGACTGCCTTCCGTGCCTCATCATGTCTGGACCTCCGCGAGGCCCTTCTCGAGTTCGTACACGGTGCCCGACATTGGGATCAAGCAGGTGTGGGTGCAGGGGTCGTACATGGATGCGCTCAACAAAGACGTTCTGGAGGAAGCGTTGAGGATTCAGCAGCTGTTGTTGGGGCCGGGAACTTCTTGTAATTCGTTCTCGGGGGAGCGATGTTTTAATGAGATGATTTCGAAACCGACCAGCATCTCGGCATTGGATGGGGAGAGGAATAAGAGTTCTGAAAGAATGCAGGATGGCATGTTTATACACTCGCCTCTGCTATACTGGAATTGCTCGCTGGAAGCCATTCAGAATGACCCTAATCTGCTACGCACCGTAAATCAGGGTCTCAGTCGCCGTTCATCAGCCAATGTGACGTTGCGATGGGGATCTGTGTTTGCCGGGAAGATGTTCCATCACCAGGAGTTGGTTGGGGCAGACGCTTTGGTTATCAGTTTGTTTTATCAGCTAGATTCGCCAGCAGGGGAGATATGGGACCGACAAGCGGAGCTTTTGGCAAAAGGCGCGGAAACACATCAGAGGTATCAGGTGTATCCGAGCGACGGGAAAGAAAGGAAAAACACTTTATACGAGGTTTGTCGATTATCTCAAACCAAGGAGGAAGGGCAATGTTGATATTGACAATGGGGAATCACGTAGTTCCGGTTTCAACCAATGAGCAAGTTGGACAATATTATGCTGGCTGGATGCTATTTTTTCACTTTGGCATATCTCGCCATGTCCTTGAGGGGCTTAAGGGCCGTGAAATCGAGGTTAGGCCTCATTGCCACTGTGTTAACACAGGTAACTACTCTTTGAGGTCGGAGTTGGAGGCAGCAAAAGCGCTAACACGGCTTTCAGATAGGCTTTTCTATCATATCCAGTTTTACGATATTGGCCTTCTTCAATGTACCTGTGTCTCACGTGCCGAGGTATGATTCGTGTTCAGTTCTAAACATTCAACAAAATTGTTTAATTTACCCGTATTAACCGGTTGCTTAGAGAGTTCTTTCCGTTCGTCGTTATTGTCATTGGGCTAGAGAACATGTTTCGTCTCATCAACGCAGTGCTAGAAACACCGGCAGAACAGCCTACAACAAACCGCATAGCTACTGCTCTCGGCGAGGTCGGATTTCTCTCAATGGTAGCTGTAGGAACAGATCTTGGCCTGTTGTTAATCATTGGTCATTTTTCTGTGCCGGCCGTCCGGGAATTTTGCACATTTGCAGGGGTGGCCCTGATTATGGATTTTGTCTTGCACTTGACCTACTTTCTAGCTGTTTTGAGTGTTGATGTACGGCGTCTTGAATTACAAGATTCGCTCGATCATATGAGCTTTAATGATGACCATGACAACAAAGACCCCTGGGAAGATCCACCTAATGAGAATGATTCATTTCTCGGGCTTATCCTGAAAGGTGTACTGCCTGTGAGCACAAGAATTGCTGGCTCGGCGATTGTAATACTTTCCGTCTCTTGCAACTGTTTTCTTCTTTCTCTTTTTTATCTAAGGCTAACATTTCTTTGTAGATGATTTGCTTCCTTGTGATACTCAACATGCACTTCTTGGAGAACCAGTCCCCCCTACGCACATTTAGATCATTGGTCGAGATGGTCACGAGTAGCCTGAGTGGGAGCCCGGAAAACGTGACCAGAAATCAGGTGGCCGCCATGCCAATCAATGTGGCTAGAACACCCACATCTTGGCTGAAGTTACAGGATAAACTTACCGGCAAAGAATTAATACGAGTTGTTAAGCCTGGGGCGTATAGGATGGTTGCTAAAGTTTATAACCCGATGTTTTGCGTTATTAGCGGCTCGAATCGATCAAAGATACCCGGCGTGTTACCAAATCTTGCGAGCATGATTGATCTGGAAACAGTCGCCAAACACTTCCAGGGATTTCTCTTGACTATAGTTTTAGTGGTGGCTGGCGTGACGATTTTGATGAACTATCTTCTCATGAAGTACATCGCAGATGACATGAGCGACTGTGGAACAGAGAACGAAGGACCTTTATTAACCTGTCACACGTTGTACGAAGGGCACTCATTGGATGTGGTGATGCTCGCGGCTTCAACAAGAGGGGTGGTGGTATCGGTTGGACTTGATAGGAGGATTGTGGTCTGGAAGTTGAAGACAAGGTGGCAGGTTCCGTCAAAAGACATCATTCGCCCGACCTGCGCCGAGCATTCCCTATGGCCCGTAATGGCCATCGCATTGGACGAAAAAGGAGAGTGGCTTGCGATCGCACCAAGGGTAGGGATGATATCGATATGGCATGTTGGAGAATCGACCTTCAAGGGCTCAGTAGCGATTGATTTGGCAGGGCAACAGCCAGCGGCATTTTTCTTCGAGTCGTCAAAACATGGAGATGCAGTATACCGGGGACCATCATTGATTATTCTGAGGCAGAACGGGTGGCTTTCAGAAATCTGCATCAAAACTGGGCAATGCATCCAACATCGGATATGTACTGGTGTGGTGGTTTCGTCGTCGCATGGGGTTTTCACGCCAAGAACCCCGTTGAGGATCGTCACAGCCTGCCAAAAAGCGAGAATCTTTGTGACATCAAAGTCTGGAGGAGAGTGGAACTCGAGGCAGCTCAATCTATTGGAGCAGCCTTGGTCACATCCGTCGTTGGAGGCGGGAGTCGATGCCACCACGGTTTTGCCATTGTCAGCACTGGGGATGATTGTCGTTTCTAGGTCCTGTAGCGTGGATCTTGTGGATCTTGTGTCAGGTATGTAGTGCTAATGCGGAGAAGTGCGGGTTTATGCGGATAGTTTTTCTAATATTGATTGCAGGAAGCGTTGTTCGAACATTCCAGACAGGTCAATTCAAGTCCAGCTCATTAAGGGCCTTCCATGCTAAACGACGAACGTGCCTATACTGCGGATGTCCTGCTGTGCTCTCGTTCTCCATCGCCTATACGGAAAAGGAATCAGGCATGTTCATTATGCACACTTTCTTCTCGTCACGGGGAAAAATGCGGGATGTTTGTCTACGAGCTGAGCGTGATCGAAGAGAACGCAAGTGCTTCGGTTTCGAGAGTGTCATGGAGACAACGCATTGGCTCGAAAACGTTGAAGGCTGGGAACCAACAAACTTGAACATGGTTACCGGAATCCGGCGGCGAGAGGCTCCCCAGGAGGACCAATCATCTGACGACCACGATACCTGCTCTTCCTCATCACAAGCGTACAGTCTACGCAGACGCAAGCAGATGCAGAGAAGATCCAGTACCGAGGACGAGGACGAGTGGGAAGCGTGGACCATGCATGCAGACGGCGTTGTCACAGCATATCCACTATCCTACAAGAATGGCGGCAACAATGACGATTCGTTACTTGTGAGCACAGCCGGTCCCGTGTGTCGTATTGGGCAGAGGTCAGTGGCCGTCGGCTTCGGGAACACGGTAAAAGTTCTGCTTGTTGGAAACGAACGCTACGAGGATGAAGGGGACGACGACTTGTACCAAATTTCACGCAAGGCACGCAGTTACCGGCGGCAATGACCTTGTGAATGGACACCCTGTTTATTTTCACGGTATACATTTATATTTTTCTCTTTTTTTTGATTCTTGGGGGGTTTTTCTTTATTTCTTTATATCGTCTCTTTTTTTTTCTCGCTTTTTTTTCTTAACTCTCTATCTCTCTTCTCAACGATACCTATTTTGCGACCCCTCTAGGACTCATATCTGTTGTGTCGCATTGCAAAATCCGCTTTTTCTTCTTTCTTTCTCTTGTCTCTTCCTCTTCCGGTTTTATCTCTGTCATGTAGGTGGCTCTCGCAGCTATTGCTGGTGGGAGCCTGTTTGGTATCTTTTTCTATCTATAGGGGTTAAATGGAGTTGGGTGGGATTCGTCATTCTAAGAATGGAATAAAAAAAGACTTGTTAAATCGCTCGATCAATAGTGACTGTGCACACACACCGCTCTGACCATTATCATTCATGACTTACCTATGACCTTCCCCCCGCCTTCGCCTCCCTCTCCCTCTTCTCGCGCCTCAACCTCTGCCTCTTCGCCCTCTTATACTCCCTCACGGCCTCCTCCTTCCTCCTCCTCTCCCCCCCACTAATCTCCTCAAACCTCCTCGTCAGCGCCACCGCCCGCTCCTCAGCAGCCCTCATCCGCCCCTTCACCTCCCTCCACGCCGCGTCCGCCTCGCCTCCGAACCGTGCCCCGTCATCCTCCAGCCCCAGCAGCCGATCAAACGCATCCTCGTCCCGCGCAACAACTACATGCCCCTCCAGCACCTCACCCAAGTCCAGCCGCTGCTGCCGCTTGATGATCTTGCGCTTGATCGTCATATCCATGCGCACGCTCTGCTCCCTCCCGGGCCGTCGTAGTACAGGGAACGTAGACGAGTGTCCTATGGTTGGTATGCCTCGGCGGTGGATCGCGGCGCCGCGCTGCCACCGCTCCCGTGCGACGGGGTCGGTCTGCGCCGCGAGGCGCTTGAGGCGCTTTAGGCGTGTGGTGGGCGGCGTGGGCGGCGGGAAGGTGGGTGGGGGGCGGGAGGGCGCGGTGGAGAGTGCTTTTTGGGACCGCTTGAGGGCGCGGTGGGAGTGCAGTTGCTGCAGGAGGTGTGGGGTGTGGGTGGGGTGGCCGGTGGCGGCGTGGCGGAAGAGCGTTTCGGTCTAGGTGGGGGATTAGTGGGGTGGTGGTGGGGGAGGGAAGGAGGGAAGGGAGGGAGGGGGAAGGAAGGAAGATACCTCGTAGGCGGACTTGAGGGCGGCGCGGATGTTGGTGAGGCCTTGGATGGTTCGGCCTTTGCGGAAGCCTTTGGTGATGGCGGTGTGCGCGTCCTTCTTGATGGCTTTGGAGAAGGGGAGGTGCTTGGTGTGCGTTAGGAGGGCTTTGTAGAGCGCGAGGCCTGAGGGGTGGGCGGGATTGTGTTAGCGGTGTGGTATGTGGGAGCATACGTAGAGGGTGGGAGAGAGGGGATGGAGGTTACAGGCGGATCTGTGGGCGCTGATTTTGTGGAAGTTTGGCATTGTGGTATACTGCTAGGTGGGTGTTGTGTTGGATGTTGTGGATGTATTGGATGTACTGTATTGTATTGTGGGCATTGATTGCACGCAGTGAGTGTTGCGAGTATCGGACGCAAGTAATGGATGGACAGAGGGTGAATGATTAAAACAGCATGAAAACGCAGGACCGGTTCTCTTTGGCCGTGAATGATTCGCTTGACAAGAAAGAGGGCTCGACGTCCGCGCGAGCCAATCCAATCCCGGCACCGCGCAGAGCAGAGAGCCTCACTGCGCACAGCCCGATCCGGGTAACCGCTGCAACACACGCCGAAACATTCGAGGATTGGAAGATATCGAACTGCAAAACGTCTGGGGATTCAAAAGCAATCCCAACTCGAGAGAGAACTCCAGCTAGCCACAGAGCTACACACCGGTCCTGTTGGTGAGTGATTGCAGAGAGAGTTTTGTTAGGAGTGTCTACTGCAATTGAGCCTCTCCTCCCCCCACTACTCCCCCCACCACACCACCCCACCTACTAGCCTTACAATTGAGTAGAAACTAACCGTCAGAGACACGCAGGCCACGCAAAATGATCCAGCCAATGTCGCTCTCGCGGCTGCTGCTGCGGCAGCAGCCATTAGGGAGCAGCAGTCTTCTCACGCAGCGCCTGCCCCTCGCCCTCCCCGGTCTCGCAAGCACCGCTCTCCGCTTCGCATCCACCCGTGTGCGCACGCGCAAGCCGCCCACGCCCGCCCTCGAGGTCGTCGAGGACCTTGTCGAGGAGGAGGCGCCGCAGGAGGTGGGGTGGCGCTCGCAGATGGTTGCGGCCGTTGATCGCAGTAGCACGGGGAAGGGTTTCCGCATGTATGTTCTACACTACAGTTTTTCTCTCTCTTTATGATAGAGACATAGTGCTATGCTATGTATTTATGGGGGTTGTGCTAACAATGGGGGCACACACAGGCGCACCTACAAGCCCCGCACCCCCGGTCTCCGCCACCTCAAGCGCCCCGTCGAAGACCACATCTGGAAATACGGCCCTTACCGGCCCCTCACCTTCGCCAAGATCGGGCACGCAAAGGGCGGGCGCAACAACAGCGGGCGCGTGACGGTGCGCCACCGCGGTGGTGGGCACCGCCGCCGCATCCGCACCGTCGACTTCCACCGCCTCGACCCCGGCCCGCAGCTCGTCGACCGCATCGAGAAGGACCCCGGCCGCTCCGGCCACATCGCCCTCGTCACCAACGTCGCCTCAGGCAAGAAGACGTACATCCTGGCCGCCGACGGCGTGCGCGCCGGCGACACCGTGCAGAGCTACATGGACGGCGTGCCGCCGGAGCTGATGGAGGAGATGGGCGGCAAGATTGATCCGGGTATCTTGGCGGCGAAGACGTGCTGGAAGGGGAACTGTCTGCCGCTGCATATGGTGCCGGTGGGGAGCATCGTGCATGCGGTGGGGTCGAAGGCGCGGGGTCCCGCCGTGTTTTGCCGCTCCGCGGGGACGTATGCGAGTATTGTGAGTAAGGACGAGAGGACGAAGACGGTGATTTTGAAGTTGCAGAGCGGCGAGGTGAGGAGGGTGAGTAAGTGGGCGCCGGCCACGATTGGCATCGTGAGTAATCCGACGTGGCAGCATAGGCAGCTGGGGAAGGCGGGGAGGAGCAGGTGGTTGAATATCAGGCCGACGGTGCGTGGTGTGGCGATGAATGCGGGTATGTGCTGGTCTTTCTATGGGGTCTTCAATTGGGGAGATAGTGGTAGTAGTGGAAGCTGTGATTTACTGACTGCGTGGGCGGGCAGCGGACCATCCTCACGGTGGTGGACGAGGAAAGAGTAAGGGTAACAGACATCCCGTCTCGCCTTGGGGTATTCCCGTAAGTTTTCTCTACAATCCTATCATTACCACCTCTCTACAGCTACTAACCACCCAACCCTCCAGACGAAATCCGGCTACAAGACTCGTGAGCCCTCCCTCTACTATCCCCCACCCTCTCTCATACTACTACTAACAAATCCTCACAGGCCGACCCAAGAAGGTCAACAAGTACGTCGTCACCCCCCGCCCCCGCAACCACGGAAAGAGAAGGGCCAAGAAATAGACACCTCCCCTACCCCCGCCCACCTTCCCTCCATGCTGCGTTTGTATATATACTATTTTTTCTTCCTCTATTTCAAAAAAAAGGTATATATTACTATTCTTTTTTTTCACCCACTTTCGTTTTATGCCCCTGCAGCAAAAAAATAAGAATAAAGAATAAACCCGTAGCCTCCCTCCCCCAAGAAGAGGGGGAATTTTTTATATAAGCAATACCTGTATGTACAGTAGAGATAATGTAAGCGCGGACCGGACAAGAACAAGACAACCCCATGCCATGACATTGGCTCGGCGTGGGTTGGAGTAGCTTGTTTGGTTGATTATGTTGGTTCATGTTTGGTACAGTAGAGCATTAAAGGTAGCAGATATACATACATGTAAGGCAAGCTCACCCATCCACCCACCCATCCGCCATGCCATGCATGCCATCCGCCTAGTTTGGTTCGCAACCTGTAAGACTCAGAACCCCCTTGTAGACTCTAGAGTGCATCTGCATCCTACTTTAGAGTACTCCCACATCATCCATCCCCATCCGGGGTTTCTCGGCAGCCAGTGCAGCGCAGAAACGTCGGTGCTTAACTCTCCATTTTTATCTGCACAGCACTGATTACTCTCCCTTCCCCTCCTGTCCACTCCCCTCCTGTCCACTCCCCTCCTGCTGCCCTCTCCCCTCCTGTCCTGTCCTGTCCTCCGCTACCACTACCTACTACCCCTCCAGTGCACAATACCAATCCCACCTATAGCTACCAGCCCCCACCAACAACCCACACCCCCGGACAGCGGTGAGTATAGTAGCGCATGTATGTAGTGAGTACACCCTCCCCGACGCCGGCCCTCACAGTGAGTACACACCGTCCGTCCGTCTGCTGCCCTCTCTTCTCCGGTGGTTAAGCTTCCAGGCACAGGGGGGAGCGGATTATTAAGTTGCGGGGCGCAGTCGGTACCGACGGATGTGTGTTTCTCTTTTTGTTCGTGCGATGGGAGGAAGGAGGAGGAGGAGTACGTATTCTGAATTTACCTGTTTGAGACGGTGGTTTTAAGATCGAAAGCCAACCACACGACAGTGCGCACTAGTTTATGTAGTTATTTAGAGGACCCTGAATCAAATCAAGCAAAACCAGTTCCGCAAAAGCAAGTAAAGGTAGGCAGGTAGGTAAAATACACTACCTACCATAAAACGGGCACCCATCCACGTCCCCCTCCCCTCTCCCCTGTGCGACATAACATGCCCCCCTCAGGATGAAACCCGATCAATTACTTTCCCATCCGCGCTGTAATCTAGAATGTTCCTTCATCGATTAACAACCACAAACCGGGGGGGGTATTGGAGTGAGGGCAGGCAGGCAGAGAGGGGGATGCGCGTTCACTCAAACACACAGCCTCGCAGTAGAGTGGTAGAGTATGATGCCATGCAATGCTAGTTAAGTACTCTATCTCCATGTATGGTACTATCTACCTACTCTAGATTCATCGGAAAGATGTAGACAGGCAGGTAGGCGGGTAAGTATCATATCACCAGCCAAACCCGCGATGCGCGCCCAGAGTCGTCTGCTCGTTGTGTCTGGTTGGGAATAGTTGCAGAAGAAGAAGTTTTTCTGTTCTTTCCTCTCCACCTATCTACATGTAGGCCTGGTAAGTAGTAGGCAGTAGAGGATGATTAGAATTACGATCATTGCTCCTCCTCCCTCCTCACACTCTCACTCTCACTCCCTAAACCCTTCACTTCTTTTACGCCTCCGCGCATCCCCCCCCCCCCCCCCTCCCTCTTCTCTCTCTCTCGATCTCTCACCCACTCGCTCTCTTGATAATTCTCGGGCCACTTCCCGAGTCCTCTTCTTTCCTTTCCCTTCCCTTCCTAGCCTTGCCTCTCCTTCCTCCTCCTCCTCCTTCCTGTATTCGTACTCTACATTGCATACATTAAACTCCCATACCGTCCCAATAGACGCTTTGTGCACCCACCAGTGACTCAGTTTGCGTGAATTCGCTTGCGTTGCCCTGTCCTGCCCCCCCCCCCCCCCCTCCACCCCCGGACTCTCGGACACCCTCAAGCCCGAGTCGACATCAGGTTCGCCCGTCGCCGCTCGCAACCCTTCCTCTGTACCTTAAACCAACCGGAACGGCACGCCAGGAAACCAAGCACCACCGAAGCAAGCAGCCCGGCTCCATCCATCTACCCAGCTGCCTGTCTGCCTGCCTACACGGTTCAATAGTGGAGTAGACGCTACACTCCTACACACACTACTGCTGCTGCTTCTGCTGCTGCTCCTACTATTACCCTTCTACTGCTACTATTACTACTATATTACCTACTTGACAGCCACTCCCCACCCCACCGCCACCACTCTCCCCCGGACTAATCCAACTATCCGCGCCGAAAGAAAAAAAAGACCCTTCAGTGATTTCTAAATAAAAATTAAAAAAGTAACAAGCAAAACAGCTCAAACCACAGCTACCCACCGGGCCTACCGCCCGATCGAATGAACGCTAGCCCCCAGCTCCCCGGCGCCAGTTTCGACTTCTCGGAAGAGTTCAACAACTTTGCTGACATGAGTAGCATGTCTGCGCCAACACCCAGTTCAAACAGCGGGAGTAATAATGCCAGTCCTACGTCTGTAGGAGGGGATAACAATCACAGTAATAGTGGGACGGCCCCGGCGGCGCCGGAAGTCCCAAGGCCGAAAAGGATAGCTTGTGTCGTGTGTAGGAAAAGGAAGCTCCGGTGCGATGGCTCAAAGCCTAGTTGCGGGACGTGTTCGAGGTTGGGCCATGAATGGTGCGCTTATCTCAGTTTTTCTCTGCGGCTTTAGATTTTATAGGAGCTGTTACTGCTGTGCGGATGTTGACAGCGGTGATTGCAGTGCATACGACGAGATAAGGCGAAAAAGCGGCCCCAAGAGAGGATACGTCAAAGCGCTAGAAGCCCGTCTTGGTATGTTGCTCTATGTACCTCGATGATCTCCTCCCCGGCGATTTGAGTTTGTCTTGTCTCAGTTCTGACACCGGCCGAAGCTCAGGTAGAAACATTGCTCAAGGAAAATACGACCCCGGAACCACCGGTGACAGTGACCAACTCTTTCGTACCCCACCTAGTCAACCCTCCTCAGGTCTACGGCGGCAATGGTATCCCCAATAGAGGTGACAGCGGTATACTGAATATGTCGGAGCGATATTACGTTGGAGCTTCCCCGGGACAAGGCCCGTTTGATGCAGGGTCGGGCATGCTAGATATACCGATGCCCGTGCCGAGCAACATCTTGGAAGAGCCTCAGTTACAGTGGGATCTGATTTCGATGGGGTTTGAGGAGGCGCTGCCGGAGCAGTCGGTTATTGATTCGCTGTATGTGGGCTTCCATCCTACAGTCCACACACATACACTGACCACCCTACCTTCAAAGACACCGGACCTACTTCGATAAGATACACCCATGCATGCCAATAATCCATAAAGGCCGCTACCTCGCCAGTCTCGCCATGGGCCCCGCCCAGCGCCCGCCCATTTGCCTGCGGTACGCCATCTGGACGATGGCCGCATCCGTTTCCGACGAGCACTCGCACCGACAAGAGGCTCTCTACAAACGTGCGCGCAAAGCCATTGAGGAAACGGAGCTGCGGGGCCACGGCGAGGCCATCATATCTGTGGCATGCTCGCAGACATGGAGCTTGATTGCCTGCTACGAGTTTAAGCTAATGTATTTCCCACGAGCGTGGCTGTCAACGGGGAGGGCGGTGCGGCTGGCGCAGATGATGGGAATGCACAGGCTTGATGGAGTGGGTCTGGATGTCAAACAGTGTTTGCCGGCGCCGAAGGATTGGTGCGAGAGGGAGGAACGCAGAAGGACGTTTTGGGTCGCATTCTGTATCGATCGGTATGCGAGTATCGGAACGGGCTGGCCCATGACCGTAGAGGAGAAAGATGTGAGCGGAGCAGGGCTTTCTGGATCTACTCATCAATAGTGCTAATTATTCCGTAGATTTTGACAAACCTCCCGTCAACGGAGGAGGCGTACGAGCAAGGCCGGCAAGAGCCGGGCTTATCTCTAAAGGAGGCCATGACGGCTGATGGGGCGTCGAAATTATCACCGTACGGCGGCGTCTGTTTGATGGCCTGTCTTTTTGGAAGAAACCTCATTCATTTGCATCGGCCTGATGCGGACGATGCGGACGGCGACATTAACGGCGCTTTCTGGACACGCCATAGAAATATGGATAATGTTCTTTCAAATATCAAGCTTTCGCTTCCTGCCCAATTCCGTCTTCCTAGTGGAATGAACGATGCCAATATTGTGTTTACTAATATGAATATCCACACCTCAACCATTTGCTTACACCAGGCTGCAATCTTCAAGGCGGATAAGAACAGAATGTCGCCTTCGGTATCATCTGATAGTAAGATTAGGTGTATAACTGCCGCTGCGGAGATTGCGTCGATCATGAGGATGGTTTGCCATCTCGACTTATCAGGGGTAAGTCTCTAATCTTCCAAACTCCGGCCTGCCTGGGGAACAATTTGGAGGCTCATAAGGTATCAATTTCCAGATGAACCCATTCATTTCCTTTTGCCTCTACGTTGCTGCCCGCGTCTTCGTACAATACTTGAAATCCCGTCCCCGCGACGAGCAAGTCCGCGCATCTCTCCAGTTCCTCCTGACTGCAATGGGCCACTTGAAAAAAAAGAACCCATTGACAGAGTCCTTCCTCGTCCAGCTAGACGTTGACCTAACAGGCTCAATGGACACACCGGAGAATGTTAACAGGTTCCCGTACAGCCTCAAGAAGGGCCAGGTAAGTTCAGGCGTCTAAGATAACATCATTTACGGGTTGCAACTGATGTACTGTAACGCTTAGCAGCCAGAGATCTATCCCGGTGGCTGTGACGGCTGCACTGCCATGATGCCAGAGGTATCAGACGACGTTGCCAACCCCGATCTCGCCCAGAACTGCCCATGTATGTCGGGCGACCTACGGACGCTGATCGAGCAGCACGCACGGATGGGCCCACCCACC